TCGACCTGATTCCAAAATGGTATGATATGTTGGGTTATGGCCTGTAGAGTTGAAAACACAATTTTATTTTGAAACATAGTAATTTGAGAACAGTAATTTTTTCATTTGAACATGAGCTATTGTAAGTTAGAGAGTTGTGTCCCTTTAATTGTTTTTATCAGTAGAAGCCAAGATGGCAAAATCTGAAAACAATTGCAGTAATAAAAACTTGAGAAACAAAAAATTTTTTTAATTTTCTCACAGAGTCGGCCTGATTCCAAAATGGTATGGACATGTTGGGCTATGGCCTCTAGGAGTAAAGTTGAAAAAGTGTGACACACTGACATTTGCATTTATTATATAGATGATTAGCTGTGATAATATGCACTTAATTTTGTAGTGCCTGCTCCAGTTGGTATGAATGCCAAGTAGGTGGAAACATGTCAAACTAATAACACCATTTAATAACACTACAATTTATTAAGAAACTTTAGTTGGAACCCACTGAATTTTCTGAGGGATGACTCAAATCACCACCCGGTGGGTCCTAGGGACTAACTATATTCAAATAACTATTAGAATCACTGTAGTCTCAAGTTTATTTGCTTTTTGGTTTCAGCTTTTTGATTTTCAATAAACTTGTAGATGAACAAAATTGCCTTCAGAGTCTTAATTGGTTGGTTGGGTTTTATGGCATATCAACCACTGTAGGTCATTTAATGCCAAATTTAGTTTTATATATATATATATATATATATTAAATATATAGTACTATTAAATGTATAGATGGCAACATTATTTTTTAAAAAACATATAGCTGGCAACATTATTTTTTCAAAAACATTATCAGAGGCCTTGCTGTTGGACGTAATTTATCGTTATACCCAGGATGCGGGTAAGGTCTGGAAAAACTGAGAGCTCATTATTTGCCCATAGCTGGGACCCTAACAGGTGCTACCACACCAGGTCAGGGTGGACATGGGAACACCAGCAATTAAGAGGTGATTCCACACTCCTCAAAACCTCCTGATCAGAGGCCTTGCTGTTGGATGCAGTTTAACGTCATACCCAGGACGAGTCTTAATTGGAATAATGTGTTTATCTAAATGTCAGATGAATACCAGGTGGTAGTAAAAGTAACCATATAAATTAGAGTTGCCAATTTGTCTTTTAAACTTGAATCCTGAATGAATGATTCCCATATTCATTGGAAAAAGTTTAAATCATCAATTGGTGATATTTGCGGATCACCAATGTAACCTTAATTGATGATTCCTGCTGTTTAAGGAGTAATGACTTGATATCAGCTTCAAGCTATCATCAAAACGAGTTTGTCTTAGCAATTTGGGAAAGATTTTAGAAACTGTTTTTATAATTAGTTCTTTATGTTTCTTGTATAAAGATCCAGAAAGTGTTTACTTGCTGACACAGAGAGGATTTACCAATAGACAGGTATAAAGACCCAAAGAGGGTTTACCTACAGACACAGGTAAAAAGACCCAGGGAGGGTTTATATACAAACACAGATATAAAGATGCAGAAAGGATTTACCTATAGCCAAAGGTATAAAGACCCAGAGAATGTTTACCTACAGACACAGGTATAAAGACCCAAAGAGGGTTTACCTACAGAAAACAGGTATAAAGACCCAAAGAGGGTTTACCTACAGAAAACAGGTATAAAGACCCAAAGAGGGTTTACCTACAGAAAACAGGTATAAAGACCCAGAGAATGTTTACCTACAGACACAGGTATAAAGACCCAGAGAGGGTTTACCTACAGACACAGGTATAAAAACCTGGCTAACGTTTACTTACTAAACTGCCAAAAATTCACCCTCCTCTAATTTATAGATAAATCCTACAGATGCATGCTGAAACTTCTTCCTTGTTAATAAAAAAAATGGACCAATTGTTAGTCTTACCCACAAATTTTTTTCTTTCTTTCCCATTAGAAGCCTATAACGATTTGACTGTATCCTATTTGCCTATGAACACTGTCTATTTTCTGAACTTTTTACTGTCTTATAGTTGCTTTGCTTTGCCTTGTATTACATTGAGTTGATTTGTATTATTTTGCCTTGTTCTACTTCCCTCTTCTTAATGTTATTTGAGAATTTTGTCAATTTTATTTAACCATATCCAGTTCTTCAACAAAAACCCAGCCAATGTTTACCTATAAACTCGGGTAAAACAAAAATCCAGTGGTCAGTGGTTGGAGATACAAAAATCAAAGAAGTACAAAAATTTAAATAACCGAGTAGTCTTTTAACAGAAGACAGAAAATGTGACACTGAAATTTGAAGGTGCATTTAGATATAGAAAGATGCCTTCCAAAACCTAAGCAAAGAAACATAAAAATCTCATGAGAAAGAAAAGAGTACTGAATTGTTATGTAATATCAGTCCTCCTATATGGTAGTGAATGCTGGACAATCTCCGCACAGATAAAGTAGAGATTTGAAGTAACAGAAATGTGGTTCTACAGTAGGATACTGAGAATACTATGGATGGAACATGTGAACAATGAAGAAGTTTTAGAGAAAAATTGAAACAAAAAGAAAACTAATACTTAACGTCAGGAAGAGAGTTGAAATTTCTAGTGTACATAATGAGGAAAGAGAGCTTGGAAAATTTGATACTCACAGGACAGATTGAAGAGGGAGAGAAGAAAACAACACATAACCTACCTAGAGAGCTTAAGTAAATTGATGGAGGAACAAGGTTTATGATAGATAACATGACAAAATTTATTAAGAAATATGAAGGACAGAAAATTGTGGAGAGTCATAATCAAAGAAGATCAAGATATGTTATATCATTTTACACAGATGTATTTTACACTGATGCATACAAAATAAGAAATGTGTATCTGGTCTACAATTTTAGAAATTATCAAGAGCATAAACAGACTTAGGCTTTTATATATTTGTATGTTTGAGATAAAAGTGCCTTGGTGGATAAGGTGGGTAATGCTTCAAATAAAAGCACAATTTTTTTTACTGATATTGGGAAACTGATAAGACGTGACATATTTTACTGTTCCACACATTCGACAATCTCAAATCTATGATTAGCAACACATTCCATTTACACAAGTTGTCAGAGTTGCATAGCATAAATAATTCCCAAAATTTAGTACAGGCTGAAAACAAAAAAGTTTACTGCAAAAAAACAGTTTGTCAAAAGGACTGTTGTTCCTTTGACATCACTATTATTGTATACTCCTTCTGCAATTTTTAATGTATCAAAAATCTATTTTTAGAATTTTAATAAAAGCCAAACATATGAGATTGGATTTATGCATTCTATTTTTTTTTCAAGAACTGACAACAAAATATCGGTTGAGAATCCTTTATCTGAAATTCTTGAGGCTGGAAGTTCTTCGGGTATCTGTCGATATTTCCAAGATCAGGCATTGCAAGTTACACTATTTACATTGTTCAAACTATTGCCCTCATCTTTATTGTCATATCCACAACGTTTCGGACAATGTACGCTCTGGTCTTCTTCAGGTGATATATGTTGGAATTCCAAACCAAACCCTTTATTTTGTCCATTGGGGTAGATTGTTCTAGTTCCACGTGCCATGCCATCTCAGTTTCATTTTATTCCCATTAGTAATTCTATTCTTCACATTTTTGTGCACCCCTGCTTTGGTCAGGGACTGAACTCACAACTCTGGGTCAAGTCACTGGATTACTTGAACCAATGAGCCATGTGAAGTTACTCAAGGGAAATAACTGAGACATCCAGAAAAGGCATGGCATGTGGAACTAGAACAATCTAGGGTGAGGAATAGCTAAATCAAAACAGATTTTGTTTTTCAGTATATAATTAGTTGGGCACTTTGATGGGGTGCAATGGTTAGAAAGCTTGTCTCGCTAGATCAATTATGACTGAATAGTGAGTTTGATCCTTATTGGGTGCTCCATACTTTAAGCCTTGTGCCACAATTAGGCATAGTTTAGAAAATAAGTATGATAATATGTTAAGCATGAAGACAATTTTGATATGAAAGAGAATCCATTTTGTCAGTAGTTTTTGACATGAATCGGCAAAAATGAGTTCTTCATTATCAACCAATTAAGACAGTTTTTTTTTTTCAGTCTTCTTTCTTCACAAGTGTTTTAGAGTTCTGTATAACATTGCTTAAGCTAAAAACTGTCTTGTAGAATTCCAAAATATATTGTAAATCACAACTTTTACTCATTAACATTATTCATTTTATTCAGGTAGCACATTTTGCACCACCATTGTAGTCACCGCTCCCCTCCATCTCACAATTGTGGTTCATGGTGGCACTCAAGGTAGAATAGTGCAATGGCTTGTTGGTTCCTTTTGTACTGGGAATGTTGAAGTTATTCTGTCCCTCCACTCAGATTTGTTTTTGAGGTTACCACCTTCTAGCCTTTGTTTATAGAAGCAGGACTTACAAGGCAACAGGTGGTTTTGAATTCAGACTTCTAGACTGATTACTAGGATCCAGTCTGTTCTACTATTTTACTCATAGTTGGGGCCCATCAACAGGCTGCCACAAAACCAACTATATCAACATTTGAGACAGATACAATGAGAGTTATAAGAGGTTATTTAATTTAAAGACCTATCGAGTTTTTGTTGAGTTATTTAATGCTGAATAAAAATCTTATAGGACAAATGGCACACTATATTAAGAGTCAAAAAAGTGTGACATCAGATCGGTTTATGCTAGAGTCAAATAAGGGTGAGACATTGGACAAGTTTATTCTAAGAGTAAAAAAAAAATGTTGAAACATCAGACAATTTTACATTAGAGTCAAAGAAAAGGGAGGAGACAAGACTGTTTTTATGCTAGAGTCAAAAAAAAGGGAAGACAAGACTGTTTCACGGTATAGTAAAAAAAAGTGAGGACAATTTTATGTTAGAGTCAAAAAACAAAAAAAAAAACATAAGACTGTTTTATGCTAAAGTGAAAAATAACTAAGACATCCGACTGTCTTACACTAGAGTTAAAAAAAAAAAAAAAGAAAAAAGTGAGGCTTATGGTCACATCATGTTGAAACACCACTACCTGTAAGATCTCTGAAGTTAAGCAACATTGAGCCTAGTTAGTACCTAGATGGGTGACCACTTGAGAATACCAGGTGCTGTGAGCTTGGATGTACAATTGATGGCGTGGCATTATCAATTGGAGGGCTGAGTTCCAGTTTCAGCTGGGTTCATTATATACATTTATGTTCAAATACCATTGAGAAAGGCATGAATCCATCTCTTCACCCTCCAGCTATGGGTTAATTAGTAAGACTTTTGATAAGAGTACAGGTCTGATTTAAAATGTCAATAATTCCTCAAGGCAAGTCAAAGTGCCAAGAGAGAAATCATAGCAGTTTAAATAGTATCTAATAGCCCAATCCACTCTGGGCAAGAGGGGACACAAGTCTATGCTTCTGTTGCCACTGCAGATAGGAACAGTCAATTAAGTTGGGGAAGGGGGGACAACTGGTTATACCAGTTACAGTAAACAATAATTAACAATCTAATTCCTTTTCTTATTTAAAAGTAAACATTATCCTTCATCTTTCCATTATTCGGATAGTCTATCACAATGATTTCCAACGTGGGGCCTGGTAATATTTTAGCCCATATCAAACCAATAAAACATTACTGGACCAATTTTAGATATCTCTCCTTTGAGTTTTAACATAGTTGTTTTTACCTTTTGATACCATTGCGGCACATGTCACACTGGTGGGGACATGTGTAGGATGTGCACCCTTTGGCTTACTATAACAACGTGAGCTCAAATTTCACTTTGCATTATTATTTCATGATTAAAATGATCAAAGTATATTACAGAATAAGCTTTCATTCAAATATTTTATATTTCTACTTTTCAGTTCTCTATTATATATTTTGAAAATATATATATTTAACTGTTTTTTGTTTTTTTTTTATTTAATTTTTTTCTCTTTCATGGATGCCATGGTCTTTGGAGGCTTGTTTAGAGACCAAGTTAATGGCCTTTTAAGCTTCCTTCACGTGAATTGCAGTAAAATTATGAATAAGGAAAAATGAAATAATACAGTAAGGCACCAGAATTTTAGAAATACCAAAGTGGGGCATGGCCCCAAATCGGTTTGGAACCGCTGATCTAGAAAATAGCCTATGAGAGTATAATTTTGAATATGTAAGAATTAAATATTAGGAGGGGGCACTAGAATTTTAGAAATACCAAAGTGGGGCATGGCCCCAAATCGGTTGGGAACCGCTGATCTATCATGTAGTAAGGTGTGGCACCTCTTTTAGTTAGACAGTAATTTGATCCTTAGACTTCAGCCATTGTTATTGAACAGATTTCTCCTTTATCTAACATTTCCTTGATACTTGCTACTTCTATTCTCAATCTTTATCTACAATAAGTTTAGTTGATTTGACTGCTTTGACCAAATCACTGTTATCTACAAAACACTTGATAGGAATGATCTTTTGACGATTATTATTTAACAACTTACCTAGGAGCATTGAGATAATGAATGCATTGTCAATCCCTAGTGTCACACTAGCTAATGTACTTTTTACTATTCACTTCATTTTGTGGGATTGCCATGATATTGGATTCATATTCTGATTATCTCCCTTTGGTGATTATAAAATGGCTGCCACCATTATTCAAATTGCTAAATGAGGCATCTGTAAAAACATTTATTTCTAGGTTCATGCCAAAATTTTGATATGTCAAATAAGCATGGTCAGATTTTACTTTCTTGATAATTTTATTCACTCTTTTCAAATCTTCAACTGTACTTTTGTTGATTCTACCAGCCAGATCTGTCACATCAAATGCAATATCAGGACCTAATTTTTTTTTAAATCCACAAGAGCTGACCAAGTTTAGCGCTTAGCAGTTTTCTCATCTTCGGAGAAGTGTGCTGTTTTCTCCATTTTGTTGAATTTCACTTCTGTTATGTTGTTAATATAATCTTTCTGTGTTAACATGATACACATCTCTTCTTGACTAATATTCATCAAATGGACTCATTGCTTTTTTTTCTAACTTCAAATATACTTCTGATTTTTAATACTATGTCCTTCTGGAAATTATCACTTCCCGTCCATGAAAAATCATCAACATGTATTGCAAATATTCCATACAGGCCCTTATCAAATCAATAAAATATTGCTTGGATGTGCAGGTGATGCAATGGATAATGGCTCAGCATTATCAACTGGAGAGCTGAGTTCCAATTTCAGCTGGGTTATTTATATTCATTTATGTTCAAATACCAATGAATCCACCTCTTCTCCCTCCAGCTATGGGTTAATTAGTAAAACTTCTGATAAGAGTGCAGGTCTGATTTAAAATGTCAATAATTCTTCAAGGCGAATCAAAATGCCAAGAGAGAAATCATAGCAGTTTAAATAGCATCTAATAGCCCAATCCACCCTGGGCAAGAGGGGACACAGGTCTATGCTTCTGTTGCTGCCACTGCTGATAGGAACAGCCCATTAAGTTGGGGAGGGGAGATAACTGGTTATACCAGTTACAGTAAACAATCGTTATCAATCTAATTCCTTTTCTTATTTAAAAATAAACATTATGCTTCATCTCTTCATTATTCGGATAGTCTATCACAATGATTCCCAACATGGGGCACATGTCCCACCAATGGGGCCTGGTAATATTTTAGCCCTTATCAAACCAATAAAATATTGCTGGACCAATTTTAGATATCTGTCCTTTGAGTTTTAACATAGTTGTTTTTTACCTTTTGATACCAATGCAATGATGCTTCTGCTAAACCATAGATACATTTCCTTAATTTCTAATTTTAGTACATGCCCCTGATAGAGTCTAATGTAGACATCCCATTCAGTTTCTTCACCTTGCAAGAATGCAGTCTTTATGTCAATAGTATTGACATACTAACATGTCAGAGGGTATCTCCCAGATGAGGCTATGCCCAAAGGGCAGAGTCTTGTCTTGGGAAACTGACTCTGTATTTTACATGGTCTATAGGGAATTTTTGCCCAAGTCTACAGGCTCAGATACCCCACTTTAAAACTCGGCCTTGTGCCACATCTTGCTGCGCAGGTCAGTGGGTAAATAAGTAAATAATTACTAATTATATTGTGCAATGACTGATAATACTCTTCTTAGAGATGTCTTGTCAATCGTTGGTGAGTTTTGGAGTATTTCTTTGAGACAATCTTCCTTGAATCCTTTTGCTACAAACCTAGATTTTAACTTCATCTTGTCACCATCATTTTTCACTATATTTACCCACCTAGATGACATGCATTTTTGTCCTTTATCCTTGACTTCTAAATAAACTTTCCATTTTCTCAGTTTATCTCTGTTTGCTTCTGAAAAATCAAAATTTCTGTTGATATGACGTTTGTATTTCCATTTATTTGATCTTCAGATTCTTCAGTTGATAAATCAATAGACATACCTGTTCCTTTTATGTCATCAGGTTTTATATATTCAATATCGTAGCAGTTCTTTGTCTTGGTAGATGCTTTTCCAGCCTGCCCAAGAATTTTAGCTTCATGTTCTTTTCCATTTTATGGAAGTTGGAACTGAATTATTTGATCTTTTTGAACTTAATAACATTGGGGTTCACTTGTCTATCCTTCTCTATGTTGGCAGAAGTTCCAAAATCTTCATCTTTTCTTTCAATGTCTTGATGCACATCTCTAGGAAAGTCGTCAATGTTCTTAGTACCATTTCCTGCAGCATCCATATTTTCCTTGTCTTCATCTTCACTGTCAGCACTTTCTATATTATTATTATCAGTATTATTATTATTATTATTATGACTAGCTTTTGATTCTAAAGCTCTCAAGTGTCTACTTTCATGCATGCAGACATAACTGCCTCCATATCTTACTACTACAACTACATTGTCTTTTCCTAAAATCCAATTTGACCCTTTCCGTTCACGATCTCTTAAGAACACCTTTTCACTTCATTTAAATTCTTCTTCCTTGAGTCTTATTTGTTTTCTCAATGCTCTTTGGATTCTATTTTATGATTCTGCCACCAAATATGCTTTTCATGCTTCTTGTGAACCTGTGAGATGCCTTTTCATCACTTCACCAATAGTTTTATCTTCCAGAGCAGGGGGGGGGGTTGTTGTTGATAATATTAGATGGTAAGTTTGGATTCCTGCCACAAACTATAAGATATGAACTAAAGCAGTTCTATGCATTCACAATCCATCTTGTAGCAGTTTCCCATGAAATAACATTTTCTTCTTTAACCTTCTTAATGATTTCTGTCAGGATCACATTATGGCACTCAGGAATACCATTTAACCATGGAGAATAAGCTGCAGTTGTTTTGAATGACAGATTCAACTTTTCAACCATTTCTTGAGAAGTCTTGTTGTTGAACTCAAGACCATTATCTATAAAAAGACCAATTTCAGGTGAACCATAAACAGCAAACCAATTCTGCATAAACTTATCTACAATGACAGCCACTTGTTTAGTACGGATTATAACAGCCATACTTAATCTACTAAACAAGTCAGTCATATGTGTAATGAAAGCTCTAAGTCTAGTTTGGCTTAATGTGCCTTTATTGAACATAACTGAAGATTTTTGAATTTTGGCTAAGACAGTGTGACTTATTTATACAAATCATAAGACAGGGGAGGTAATTGGGTTGTCTTATCACATTCTTCCCAGCTTTATTTTAACCTAGTCCAACACAAAATCATCCAGGTGACTGGGTCTCTTGACAATTATCTGGGATCATCTCAGTGGCAGCTGATCTGTGCTTTCAGATGTTACAGGAACAGTTGAAAGTATTCATCTCATATTGTTTTTGTCTCCTTCTTGGAGTGGGACACTGATTGTGAAAGCTGATTGTTCATGGTAGTATGCTCTCGTTTTGAGGGAACAGTTCTGGTGTCAATCTCTGAATCATCACTATCTGGACCTTGTTCCTCCAGAGAATCCAATGGCATTGTGTCATCATTACTATCAAGAGTGAGAGATATTGTTTCAAGAGCGAGCTGCTCCTCCCCCTGGTTTGATAACTCACCAGCAGGGGCCAAATCTCTGAGAGAAATATTCAGTTGTCACCCATCGGGGTGCTGGATGCGTGCATAGAGTGGGTCCGTCTCGAGCAGTTCCAATTTACTCA